TACGTTTTAAACGCAAGATATTATCTTAAGTGATTGTCTAAATATATTATTTTAATAAAATTGATTGAATAGTTAAAATTTTATCCGATAATTATATTGTCGGAGAGAATATATTCCCTATAGTTCAGGGATAATTGTACGTTTTAAACGCAAGATATTATCTTAAGTGATTGTCTAAATATATTATTTTAATAAAATTGATTGAATAGTTAAAATTTTATCCGATAATTATATTGTCGGAGAGAATATATTCCCTATAGTTCAGGGATAATTGTACGTTTTAAACGCAAGATATTATCTTAAGTGATTGTCTAAATATATTATTTTAATAAAATTGATTGAATAGTTAAAATTTTATCCGATAATTATATTGTCGGAGAGAATATATTCCCTATAGTTCAGGGATAATTGTACGTTTTAAACGCAAGATATTATCTTAAGTGATTGTCTAAATATATTATTTTAATAAAATTGATTGAATAGTTAAAATTTTATCCGATAATTATATTGTCGGAGAGAATATATTCCCTATAGTTCAGGGATAATTGTACGTTTTAAACGCAAGATATTATCTTAAGTGATTGTCTAAATATATTATTTTAATAAAATTGATTGAATAGTTAAAATTTTATCCGATAATTATATTGTCGGAGAGAATATATTCCCTATAGTTCAGGGATAATTGTACGTTTTAAACGCAAGATATTATCTTAAGTGATTGTCTAAATATATTATTTTAATAAAATTGATTGAATAGTTAAAATTTTATCCGATAATTATATTTTCGGAGAGAATATATTCCCTATTTATTGCTTAATATCCCATTATTTTAACTTTATTATCTTCTTTTAAAAAAAAATAAATAAATAATTTAATCTTTTTTTTACTGTTTGCCTAGAACGGGTCGTTCCAAAACCAGAACGGCCCCTTCCAAACCTCGTTTTACTTCCTGAAAACATCTTCCAGAACGGGCCGTTCCAGGACCGTTTCAGATTCAAAAAAATGTTAAAATTTTTTATTCTGGAACGGGCCGTTCAGGGACCGTTTTAATTTAAAAAAAAGGATTCTGTATCTTTTAGCAGAACGGCCCGTTCTGCTTCCAGAACGGGCCGTTCCACTTCCAACATTTGCCCAAAATGAAATTCTGAGCATGAACAGTAAACAGTTCTATATTGGTAAATAAACCTGCACAGTTGATACTTTTGTAATTTTTTTTAAAAAAAAATATTATTTAAGTAAACATTTCTCATATCATGCTGCTCTTATTCTTAAAATCATACATGCCAGGAAAAGTACGATAAAGCACATATGCCAAGACTAATTTTGAACTCAAAAATGCTGAAGAAAAAATTGCAGTAAAAGCAACACTGCTATTTATTGAATCATTAAAGCAAAGTGAAAACATACCAAACAAGTGGAAGTCAAGACTTTTATTCGCCAAATACTCGTATACAAGTATCTTTTCATTTTCCTCCAAGCAACATGCCAAAAGGTTTACAAGGTTGCGATGTTGCAATTTAGCTATAAACATTACTTCATTATTGAACTCTTCTGAGCCTTGACTGGAAAAATTTGAAAGCCTTTTGATTGCAACTTGTCTTCCATCTGGTAGAATTCCCTGATAATATCTTGCAATAATTAAAAGTATATAGAAAGATGGTTGAAGTAAAGAATCTACATCTTAAATTCAAATCATTAAAACCTTGTAAACGGGGCCAAATCCTCCTTCCCCTAATTTAGATGCTTCTGAAAAGTTATCAGTACTTTGCAGAATTGTGATTAATGGGATTATAGGCAGGTCTGTTTTCCAAGTTTCCTCAGTTTGAATTTTACGAAATGAAGAAAGACAAAGCCCATCTACAAAGAGATTTTTGTGAGTTCTTCTTTGAACAAAATTGTCTTATTTGGCTAGGAGAAACAGGTTATCATACAAATTATGGCATGTGATCGCAGGAAATTACCTTTTCTGACTCTGCTCATGTACCGGAAGCAATATACAAAACATAGTAATAGAATTATTGACCCCATCACACCGAAGCTAATGATCAAGCTTTTTATCCTCTTATTACCCCCATTTTCAGCTGTGATGATATAAAAGATGAATGACCAACTTTTTATACTTGCAACAAAAGAAAATGAATATTCTTATTTATTACAACAAAAGAAGTCAAAAAGTACTAGTATAGGATTCAGATTCACCTGTTTGCGGATTAGGCACAGAAACATAAGATGCTTGGTTGCTAAGAAGGTAAAACATATGATTATCATACTTTATCATACAACTTCCGGTCCAAATAAACCATCCTAATTTTTGTTCACAACAATTGGGAACTTGAGCTAATATCGCCTCCAAACACTGTTTGCATCTTTCACTTGTGAGATCTCTGCTACAATGCACAAAGCCATACCTTCTTTGAGTGGAACTCATACTGAAGCCATCCATATAGTACAACTGGTTGGTATCCTTAGTTGCTTTTCTTATCAAACTTGTCACAAAATCCTTACCTTTCTGAATCTCTGTCTTGTTGAATATGTTTTTGGTTCCAAGAACATACCATATTGGGTTTGTGAGAACTTTCCCAAAGAAGTTCTCATTTGAGTACCTTAGAATGCAATAATCATACCACACCATAGCAGATACACTATTGGGGCAGAGCCGAGGGGCTTCTCTGGCAGCATTAGAAACACAAAATTGACAAAAGTATCCAACCACGTCACCACGGCAATCATAGAGGCCATACACAGAGGAGGTGATGCCTATGCTTCTGTAGTTATAAACTTTGCCTTTGTATGCATCAGAGGATACCCATGTAAGGATTCTCTCAAGATTAGTTTGGTATGCACTGCTGAGAGGTTGTTGTTGTTGGCTGGTGTTTTGGCAATTACTTCCCAATAAATTTGGTACTTGTGCCTCTGTAAAGAGTGCTCTGAAACTCAGCAATAACCAGAAAGTAAAGGATATTGATCTCATGTTTAGTTGTGTTCCCATGATGAAGTACTTGCTTAAATTACTCTTCTTGCAGATTGATTATACGTGTATATCCTGTCCAGATAATGTCATTATGGTAAGTCAAGGTTGTCACATTTATAAGTCATTAAATTCAGTCTCCAATACGTCAGTCAGCGTAAATGAAAGACAAATGTAAATATAATTTTATGAATGGTTTCCTTTTTCAATAGATATTATTTTTTTATTACAACTAATTGGATGGAGCCACTATATTTGTTTAAAGATATTTAACAACTATTGATATTTGTTAAATTAACTAGTGTTATGCCTAATTTTTTAATTTCAAGATCACTTATTTGAATCTTGGACTTGTAAGGATAGTTAATTTTTAATATTATTTTTTATTTTTATTTTTAAATTTTAAAGGTAAAACAATCCAAAAACTATGTAAATTAAAATAGAGAATTGCTTTTATACATAAATATAGATATGACAGAAGATTGTAATAAAAAAATGTTTAAATATCTTTTTAGTTTTTATATTTTTACTCTATCTTTTATTTTTTATAATTTAAAATAAATATTTTTAGTCGCCATATTTATTTTTCTCGGTCAATTTCAGTTTTTATAGTTTAAAATAGATCTTTTTAATCTTTATACTTGTATTTTTTTTAATCATTTTAATTCTTATTGTTATTTTTTTATAACATTATATTTTTATTAGCGTGACAGAGGTATTTATTCAACTTTGTATGTCTGATGTTAAATTTATTTTGTTGAAATTACTTTAATTAAATTTCTCGACATTTCATGTCTCGTTTATACCTTGTTCATTGTTAAGAAGTCATTTTTTACTTTCACATAATCGAACACATTTATTATATTAATACAAAATAAATAATTTAAAAAAAATAACAATTGTGATTTGAAGGATTAAAAAAATAATTATAAAAACTAAGATTTATTTTAAATTATAAAAGGTAGAAATGGTATTACTTGAGCGTCATTTGGTAGACAAGAAAAAGGAGGGAACTGTGGAGAAAAGGACGAAAGTTACTGGAAACTGGAAAGGTGGACTTTGAATAGGTCGCGTTCTTATCCTTCAATATTCCTTGATGGTGCTCACATAGGTAGTGCTGGCCAAAATTAATTGAATTAAACTAGACTATTAAATAATTGAATTATTTTAAATTAAAAAAACTATAACTATTTAAATTAAAATTGAATTAAACTATTTTTTAGTTCAGTTTTTAAAAACTGAACTTATTAAGTTACAGTTCACTTTACTTTAATTAACTAAAAATATAAAATAAAAGTTGTAAATGCAGAAATGTGGGTCTTCACATTTCAGCCACAGCCAAGGTTTCTAAATCATAAATCGCAAGCCTCTTCACATTCCAGCAAGCCACGGGCCCACGGCACGGGGTTCCTTATTCAGCAGAATCATCACTCCTTCCTCACTCACAGGCAACCATAGAATTGAAGAGACTTATCTCTTCATCAAGGAGTGGCGTCTATTGGGAGAGTTCCCCACCAATCCGTGGTGGATCTAAGGTCTCCTCCTCCATTGGAGACCTTAGGCAAGCTTAAGAGGAATCAAGGAGCAAAAGATCTAGGAGGAACTTGAAGAGGATTCACATCAATCCGGATTCTCCATCAAGTTTTCCATCACTTCTGCTTCTGCCGAGGCCCGCAGTAAGGGTTCGAGCTCCGAGGTTCCGTCGCCTAACCTGGCAGCCACTGCACCGCCATCTTGCCCTTCAAAGGGGGCCCCCAAGAGCAAATACATCGCTCAACGCTTTGAGATGGATCGCCCTCTGTCACGGTTGGATCACGTGAGCGCCTCGTCAGATATAGACTCATTTTGGAGTGCGGGGGAGATCGCGGAGACCTTCTACCCCAAGGGCTCGAAGCGCTCGGCTGATCAGGCAATGATTGAGAAGGTCCGGCCAATGGAGGGCCTTGACTCGGCGGAGGTCTTCCTCTAGAGGGCGATGGCTATTGTGGACCATTGGAAGCATAGGTGGTCCAAGCAGCAAGGGGACCTGGAGAAGATGAGGGGCCGAATTCGGCCTCTAGAGGAGGAGAATCGGGCGTTGGGGGCTGCCCTGGGCAAGGCTAAGAGGCAGAACGAGGCCGAGTTTCAAAACATGAGAAGAGATCTCGCGAGGGTCCATCAATCTTTGGAGGTTGCCTTGAAGGCTAACGAGGTTTATGCTGCTCAAATTGGCGAGCTTCAGAAGCTTTCTACCTTCTCTCGGGATAGAGTGTGCGGCCTTGAGGATGAGGTCTCGACGCTGAAGGTCGAGCTGGGGCAAGCTGCTGAGAAGCGTCTTTGTGACGAGGTGCTTCTTAGTGGCAAGGAAGAGGAGGTCGCAACATTGAAGGCAGACCTTGACAAGATGACTGATGCCAAGGTGGACCTGGAGAGGAAGCTTGCCGAGATCGAGCGTGCTGTCCTGCTTGAGCATAAGAAAGGCTTCCTCAAGGCAGCTCGTCAAGCAAGGTTGCTTGCGCCTGGGGTCGACCTCTCCACTATCATTCTGTAATAACTTAGCTTATTCTTGCTTATTTCTTTTTTTCCTTCTGGATTCATGTTTTTAACTCATGGAGTTGTTGGGTATATATTACTTTGTTGAGTTTGTATCTCGCGCTTTTGATGGTTCGTCTCTGACCTTCGTTTTTGAACTTATGTTTTTGCACTTATGTTTTTGTGCTTTTTGGGGCTCAAACTTGGCCTAGCGTAAAATAATTCATATTATGGTTCGAACTCGACCTTGGCTTAAGATAGGATAATTCGCATTAAGGTTCAAGGTTCGAACTCGACCTTGGCTTAAGATAAGGTAATTCGTACCAAGGTTCAAACTCGACCTCGACTTAATGTAAAATAAATCGTATCAAGGTTTGAACTCGACCTCGGCTTAATAAATCGTATCAAGGTTCGAACTCGACCTCGGCTTAATGTAAAATAAATTGTATCAATGTTTGAACTCGACCTAGGCTTAATGTAAAATAAATTGTATCAAGGTTCGAACTCGACCTCGGCTTAATAAATCGTATCAAGGTTCGAACTCGACCTTGGCGTAATATAAATCATTTTATGGTAAAACGATGTAGAATTAAGAAATTATGAACAGAAATAGAATGAGTCATTTTATTAATGTTGTGGGTGTGCCTCGTTAAAAACCCTCTCAGCCAAAACCCATTTTTCTATTTTTTGGGACAAAAGACTGAGGTGGGAAAAGAGTGCACAACTTATTCTTACAATTTCAACTGAAGTAGAACTTGAGATGCGTGGCGTTCCAAGTTCTTGGGATGGCTTTGCCGCTGAGCTCTTCTAGACGAAATGCCCGTTTTCTAGGTTTTTTGTGACCCGGAATGGGCCATCCCAGTTTGGTGCGAGTTTTCCTTCTGACGAATCTCTACGGGCATCTCCTAGTAGTCGCCAGACCAAGTCACCAGCCCTGAAGGAGCGAGGTCGGACTCGCGTGTTGTACCTCCTGGAGGCTCGAAGCTTGCAGGCCTCTTCGTGAATTCGGGCTTCTTCCCTGAGCTCATCAATGAGGTCGAGGTTGACCGTTGTCTCCTAGGCATTTTGCTCACTATCGAGGACATGACGTCGATGAGACGTCTTGCCGACTTCCACCGGGATCATGGCATCGGCTCCATAGGTTAGCCTGTACGGCGTTTCCTGTGTTGTCGACTGGGGGGTACAATGGTATGCCCAGAGGATGCTGGGGAGCTCGTTGGCCCATTGTCCTTTGGCGCTTCCCAGCCGCTTCTTGAGTTCTCGGAAGATCACTTTGTTTGCGGCTTCGACTTGGCCATTGGTTTGGGGGTGCTCCACCGAGGTCGAGAGGTGTTTGACATCGAGCTCGCGGAGGAAGTCTTCGAAGCTCTGTGCAATGAACTGTCTACCGTTATCGGTAACGAGGGAATGCGGGATGCCAAACCTGCATACGATGCTCTTCCAGGTGAACTTTTGTATGTTTTTGGTGGTGATCTTGGCGAGTGGGCATGCCTCGATCCACTTGGTGAAGTAGTCGATTGCCACTAAGAGGAATTTGAGCTGACCCTTTGCAGGGGAAATGGTCCTAGGATGTCCATTCCCCACTGGGCAAAAGGCCACGGTGACATCATCTGGTGGAGAGCTTCGGGTGGCTGTCGATGTGTATTGCTGAACTACTGTCATTCCTTGCATCTTTGCACGTAGGCTTGGCAATCTGACTTTAATGTGGGCTAGTAGTATCCATCTCGGAGTACCCTGGTCGCCATTGATCGTGCTCTAGAGTGCAGACCACATATCCCTCGGTGTATTTCCTCGATGACATACGTAGTTTGAGGCTCGGCCAAGCATTTGAGCAATGGGGCGGAGATGCCGCGTTTGAACAGTTCGTCTCTGACAATGACAAACTTAGCTGATCTTACCCTCATCTTCCGAGCTTCATCTTTATCCTCGGGCAAAGTTCCCTCCTTTAAGAAATTCCAAATACTTGTCATCCATCTGTGGTCTCCGCTGTCACTGGTGTTGACGACCTTGTCGTCTAAGCTGGGTGAATGCAGGGTCTCCTGGATGATGGTTCGATGTTGCCAAGGGCATTTGGTACTGGCGAGCTTCGATAGGAGGTCGGCTCTGGCATTTTGTTCTCGTGGTACGTGATGTATGGTGAACTCGTCGAAGGACGAGATCTGCTGCGATGCCACATGGAAGTACCTTTGCAAAAGGGTGTCATTGGTCTGGTATGCCCTGCTGAGCTGCTCTACCATGAGCTTTGAGTCGCTATTGCAACTCACTCTCCACGCTTCGAGGTCGTGAGCTAGCCTTAGCCCTGCGAGAAGCGCTTCATATTCTGTTTGGTTGTTTGTCACTTTGAAGCCAAACTTGAGAGATTCCTCCAAGGTGACCTGATTAGGCCCTTCCAAAATAATGCCTGCACCACCACCTTTAAAGTTGGAGGATCCGTTAACATGTAAAATCCATACCTGTTGTTCGTCTGCCAAGTTTGGAGTAAGTTCGGCCACAAAATCTACCAGGCATTGGGCTTTCAAGGGGTCGCGGCTTTCATACTTGATGCCGAACTCAGATAGTTCTGT